GAAAGAAAAAATCAATTATGAAGGAGAGGAAGAAAATGGTGGATTTGAGAAGTTGGGGAATTAAATTAAATGCTGACAATAATTACCCTTTCTGTTACAACTAATTTACGATATTGCCATTACAGCTGGCCAATGAGGAAGGCGAAGCTTTACGATGCGAGGGAACACTTCGGATTGTTTTGTCTCGTTATGGGAGTTGATTAAAAATGACCAAAATGCCCTCCCATTTTACCCGCGTCGTATTGTGTTTCTTTTTTAATTATCTCACTCTCTCTCTACCTGTTTTTAAAATTCGCAAATGTGTATTTGTAGTCAAACTTGTATTGTTTACTTAAGAAAAGGGAAGCAGTCAGTTTTATAAATTATAATTTTTTTTTTATAATTAGGTTGAGATTTCGAAACCTCTTATTGGATAATTTAAAACTAAAAATAAGCGACATTTTAAACAATATGAGGTGCTGGGAGTTGAGATTAAAATATTTAACCTACTTATATAATAGAATAAAATAACTTAGGTGCAGATAATGGATTGTGTATTTTAAAATTCAAATACTTTCGCATATTTTAAAGTATTTTTTGTTGTTTTGAATTGTATTAATAAACATCTAATGTCTTTCTAAATTGGAATACGAGAAAATGAAAGTCAATAGACTGTTTTTGAACATTATAAAATATAAAAATATACGTTAAAGTTCAACATAATTTTTCACAATATTGTATTTAACTTGCAACCATTTTACCTTAAAATAAAAAAACACTTTACTTTATATATAGTCACCGAACTATATGAATAGCCAAAATGTAAAAATCTTAAATTATACTCCAATCTATGAACTTTTCAGAAACTGTTTTTACTTTTGTTAAGATAATTTCATAATGTTACTTTTGAAAAGTGAACTGGTACTTTTAAAATATGAATAATTCATAACAACTGTAAATGGATAAACACGAAATGAGTTTGACCTTGACCGTAGATCTCAAAATTATGAAAGAGGAGCGCAGCCGAGAGGTCATTGTCAAATGGCAAAATGGTCAGAAAATAAAAGAATGGCAAAAACCGTAAATAAAAACGAAGACGGAGGGGCAAACATAAGCATGACAGACTGTCCCGCCAACGCGACCAAAAAACAAAGACTCGAGCAGCTCCAACTTGCTCCTTTTCTCCACGCCACAAAAAATTTATAGACCCCTGAATTTATTCATCTTTTACGTTTCGACCCTACAAGTTTTTCTACGTCCATGTTTACGTTTCTATTTATAATTTTTTAGTTTTACGAAAAAATAATAGTAATACACACACAATCCAGGCTATTCTTTGTCTACAACCAACTAATCTGATAACAATTATTTTGTTTGGATAATTAGTTAATATTCAATTATATCAATTTTTTGTATTCTTCGTGATTGAGACTAGTATAATTATTAGAGTGACACACACTCTGTAATATACAAGTGATTTCGACATAACCACTACGTATATATATCTATTTGGATATATCCCATTTCAATTCAATGCCTATCCATTCTAATTAAATAAAGCTATATTTACATCAAAGCTTGGATCAAGAAAGACAATAAGAGAATACAAGACTATGATTTCATTTTTTCTTCATAATCACAATTAATGATGGAATGGAATTGAGATTTCACAAAATTGAATGATTGATAAAACATTAGAGAAATGTCTAATATTGTATCTAGTCTCATATATAAAACTCCAACAAAAAGACATTTTAATGCAAAAAAATCTCACCTATCGTGAAAATAATGAGAAAAATGAAGTAGAACTTATCTGGAACCGGACAAGCTTGGCACGACCCGGTCAATGGCTACATTGTGTGAAGTCCAGCGAGTGATCTTAGCTTCTCACAGAGTATGAACGTGATCATTGTTTGTGGTCCGAGCCTTGCGAAAATCGCAAATCCTCTGTGTCATTAGAAAAACAAGTATCCTGTTTTTACTTTTTTGGTAACAAGGAAATTGTTTAGATATATCCTCCAGAACAAGAAATGGTTTCTGTTTCTCACCCTTTGTAAAGTGCCAAAGGACCTTCTTTGCGAACAACCTGAAGGGATTATATATAACAGAAACCGAACATTAACGTTCAACACAAGCAAGCAATTAGATTTTAAAGTGAAAATATATATACCTTGTAACCGCAATGAAACCCGTTTCTGTAGATTCGGGAGCTTTCGGAGCCTTGCTGCAACATCAAGCGAGTTTTAATCATGTCCATGGGCGCAGTTATCAGCGTGCTTACTACACCTGCAACCATACTTGWGCTTCATTCATCAAGTGCTAGAGTAAGTTAGTTTCTGCACATTTTTTCGCTGCCTGACAAAACAGTGGAATTSGGTTATTGTTGTTAGAATTTTACCACAAATGAAGATGAAACCCTTCTTCTAAAGAAGTTTGTTTAACCAGAATCTGCAATTACAAGAAGCTTTAGGAGCCGGAAGGTTAGAAAGCAGCAACTTTTTTTAATCAATGAATGGTTGAGAAGCATGTTAATTTTKTAATTTCAAGAAAAAATCATATGCAAAATTACTTCATGGTGCTCAAAAAGTGGAAAATAGTAGTCTTAGAATATGACCCGTTTAGTTTCGTCGTATGTTGCAAGCTGCGAGGCAGTCAGTGCTGCAGCTCTAACCATGGCAGGACCAACTCCTTTCCATAATGCTCCTATGCCTTCTTTAGAGACTATTTCCCGCATTTCTGCAATGGGAGCTGCGTTTGGATTCATCTGCAACCTTACCTAACGCAAGGAAAATTGATAAGTATCTTAAAACCAAGAAAGATAACTAATAAACAGAATCTAATCAAATAGTTAAGATTTCATCTACCTTCACAACTTCAACCGGATTGGTTAGTCCGGTGGAAAACGCTCCAGRGAATGCCCCTGATGCTATCTTGACCAAGATATTGGAAGATCCAAATGCCCAATCGAAACAGAACTTGGTGGGTTCYTATAATCCCAGTCTGAGACCTCCATAAAGCACTGACCTAGTGAGAGCAGGAGTCAATCCCAAGTATAAAGACCTAGGCCCTTCATTCCTTATTAGTTGAAGAAAGGTTCCAGTCTGAAAACAATTCAAAGAATGCAAAACTAAGTTAATCTAAAATCCTCAATAACATCAACATGGGAAGTTCATCAGAATAGTATTACCATTCCAATTAAAGGGCCTTTATGGCCGACATGCTGCATCTGCAATCTTACTTTCAGTACATCTGGAAACGAAAATAACAAAAAGAAACCCGTTTAAGCGGAGTACGAAGGAAAGAAAAACCGATTTCCTTCTGCGATGTCTTCCCAGCCTCTAAACTAAAATAGCACATTACGTACTACAGTAGCTGAGCAGAGACTTATCCACTCACCAAGAGTCAGAACATACTGCTACATTATCCAAAGATCATTATCGAAGAAACCATTCCTAAGCAGAACTTGAAAAATCCATCACAAGTGCCACAAATCTCCAAATCCCAACCCCAAAAAACACCATCTGTTGCATATTAAAGAACTCTACAATCCAAAGCAATTATAGGCAATGGAAAATTCCAGATACAGKATCACAAAKACCTCATCTAGAAAACACAAAATCCGAATTGATCATAGTTACGCAAATGGTTCTAGTATCTAACCAAAACGCCTACATTTCCAAAACTGGATTCATACCAAAAATTATGAGTGAAGATAGTAGGCATGAAGGATCTAACCGAGAGGATGAGTCACGCCGGTGGCCAACGCYACGGACATTCCGCTCGTACCAAAATGAGACGCCACCATTGACAACGGCGGAAGCAGATTCTTCCGCTTCCTCACTTCTTCATTCCCTTCAACAACTACGCAAATCCCTCACCARTGAAAATTCTTCGATAYAAAWACAAAAGAAATTCGATTCAAGCGAGAATTTCAATGATTCGAGAAAAGATCCGACGAACCTGGGATTGAAACTACCGGCGGGGCGACATCTCCGATCATTATTTTGTTTCCTTGATTTAAATAATTTCTTGGGAAATGGTCTCTGTCATTTTTTTTTTTGTAGGCGACTAGATGTCTAACGAAACGACGTCGTTTCATTAGAGATACTTCTCCGGTTATTAATACCCGTTAGATATCATAAGTGAATCTGGACCGTTTAGATTAAATCGTCCTTAATAAATTTATTAGGCCAAAAATAAAAAAATCGACTTCTCTGCACTTTCTTCTTCTTCCTCTCGCCTCGAAGCTTCTT